AAGAGCCCGATGCGGGGCCCGATCCCAGGACCCTGGGATCATGACCTGAGCCGAAGGCAGACGCTTAACGACTGAGCCACCCAGGCGCCCTATTCTTTATCTTTGATTTTACATAGTTTGAATATTATATGCCTAGGTGTAGTTGTCTTTTGTGTCTGTGTGTTTGTGCATGTGGCATTTTTTTCTGCTTTGGGTTCTCTGAACTTCCTCCACCTGTAGTTCAATATCTGACATTAATTTGGGGAAACTCTCAGTCATTGTTGTTTTAAATGTTTCTTCTGCTTCTCTATTTCTTCTCCTTATGGCATTCTCTTGATATGTATCTCTTGATATGTATGGTGCACTTTTTGTAGTTGTCCCACAGTCCTTGGGTAATCAATTGTGGGTGTGGTCCTTTTTTTTAAGTCTTTTTTTTCTCTGTGCTTTTCAGTTTTGGCAGTTCCTATTGAGATATCCTCAAGATCAGAGATTCTTTCTTCACCTGTGTCCAATCTACTAATAAGCCTATCAAAGGTGTTCTTTAATTATGTTACAGTGTTTTTGATCTCTAGCATTTCTTTTTGGTTCTTAAAATTTCCAACTCTCTGCTCATATTGTTTATCTGTTATTGCATGGTGTCTAATTTATCCATTAGAGTCTTTAGCATATTACTTATAGTTGCTTTAAATTTCTAGTCTAATAATTGTAACATCCCTACTATATCTGAGTCTCATTCTGATACTTGCTCTATCTCTTTACATTATGTTTTTTCCCTTTTAGTATACCTTGTAATTTTTTTCTTGATAGCTGGACATGATGTAGTGGGTAAAAAGAACTACTGTAAATAAGCCTTTAGTAATATGGCTGTGAGGTGTGGGGGTAGGGAAAGCATTCTCCAGCTCTATGATTAGGTCTTTGACTTTAAGTGAGCCAGTGCCTCTGGACAAAGTGCTTCTCCTTTGTTTTTCACCCCCTTAGGTGGGATAGGATTGATAGAGTTGGTTGTATTTGCATATTTCCCTTCTCCCATGTGAAATGCTAGAACCAACTGGAGTTGATTACGTCCCTTTCCCCTGGTCAGTTAGGCTCTGATAATACCCCAACAGGTTAGGCTCTAGTTAACTAGTTTGCCCATAGGATAGGTCCTGTAAGAATATTTTTGAAAAAAGATACATGAATATAATAAAAAAAAATAATCTAATTTTATAAAAATTTATGGTATTAAAATGGTTGCAGAGACTGATCATTTCTTTTATAAGGTTACACATCTCCCAAGTAGTCAAGAATGAATTTAAGTCCATAAAGACCCCAAAGTTCCATATTTTGTGACTTAAAGCCAATTAGAGACTGTAAAAGATTGTATGTTCATAAAGAAAAACAAAATCCTTCTTCTTTTTTTTTTTTTTCACAGGCAGGTGAAACAATTTTATTTCACAGTTGTCTTTAAAACCACAAAGACACTATGTTCTTCATATAAAAACATCAGTACAGATACCTATACTTTCTAGAAAATGATTATATAGACCCTCTCAAAGAAAAATGCACACCATTATATGATTTCAGACAAGTTGCTAGGGAAAAACACATCTGGACTGATTCCTACGTACAGATTATTGTCATCAGTACATGTTCCTGCATTCTTACAGATTTGATAATAAACATACAGACTGGCTTGTAACTTAATGTTCCATCGGTTCATCAGCCTTTTCTGCAGGTTCATCAGCAGGCTGAGCAGGCTGTGCCTTTCTCTGTGGTCTTTCTTCAAGACCTTCCAGGAATGGAGATACATCATCATCATCATAAATTGTAAACTCCAAGTCTTTACCAACAATTCCAATGGAAACATTCTTTGTAGTTAGGTCCTGTTCTTCAGGAAGTGTCTCTTGTAAGGCACACAGACCATGTTTAACCAGTTCATTCAAATTGCACTCCATAAACCCAGACATATGTATCTCCAAGTAAGTACGAGCTGATTGAGAACGGGCTCCAATGGACATGGCTCTACAGTCAAAATAGTTGGCAGATGGACAGGTTTGGAAAATGTGAGGGCCCATATCATCATAACCAGCAATAAGCAGCCCAACACCATATGGTCTCCGGCCATATCGTTGTGTTGGTATCTGGGTCTTGCTTCCAATTAGAGATACAAGACGAGACACAGGAAGAGGTCTGTCAAATACAAATCTGGAATCCAAACACTCTTGGCGCATAAAATTACTAAAAAAGAAACAAGGAAAATTAGTTATTTCATATCAGAGTTATTTCAATCTAAATGAAGTAATTTCATTTCTTTTTGCCTGCTTCACATGGATTACATCCACACAAGGGAATGAGAAAGACATGCCACAAGGATGCATATTTATACCAAACTCTTGGGCCACCTGAGGTTTTTAAAAAAAAGATTAAAATATTCCTTAGCTCTAGATAAACTTGGTCTCTGAGCACTTTAGAGAACAGAGAAGGCTGAGCAAGAGAAAAAGAGCAAGCTCTCTTTTCTTACCCTTCCCACTGTGCCAAGATTGTCCTAATGCTAGGTCTTGAACCAGCTGAAGTTTCCCCAGTAGAGCAACTGCAAGAAATAGAACCTGTACTAGGGCACTGCGACATGTTCTTGCCAACAGTGCTTCTACCCACAAGCAGCACTCTAGAGGAGACGCTGGACACCAGACTGTTGAGCCTCACTGTTAACCCTGGCAAGATTCAAGCAAATGCAACCCTGGGGAAAAGGGAATTCATGCCTAACTATTAAAGACAAGAGGATAAACAGCAAGAAATGGATATGCACCTTTCCTTCCATGTTGCTTTGTCCAGTTTATGTGTATGTCACATCTGAGAATCAAATGTTGACTGCGGGAACCATGCTATTTGTTCAGTACTTTGAAGGCCATTTCCCAAGGCTATCTAAACTGCACTGCTCAACATGGCAGGTACTGGTTATATGTGACTATTCAGCACTTCAAAAGTGGCTAGTCTGAATTAAGAAGTACTGTAAGTGCAAAATACACATGAAATTTCAAAGACTCAGTACAAAAACCAATGTAGAAGAGCTCATTAACCAGGTTTTTATATTGATTACATGTTGACATGGCAATATTTTGGATAGATTGGATTAAATAAAACGTTTAACCATGCAACATATTTTACATTTTCAAGAGCTTTCAGAAACCAATAATGCTCTCACTGTATCGCCAACCCAAGAGAGCAGGGAGCTTGCCGGGTAACCTGAAAACTTAAAACAGTAGCACTACTATTTGCCCTTAATGCTTATATTCTTTCTTCCCTAATTAAATCACAGACTTAAGAAATTAGTTTTGGCTAACTACCTTTGATCTCCCAACACACATTCATATATTA